TTAAAGAACTAAAAGTAGATCTACCATTTGATCCAGCAATCTCACTCCTGGGTATTTACCCAGAGAAAAAGAAGTCATTACACGAAAAAGATACTTGCACACTCATGTTTATAGTAGCACAGTTCGCAGTCGCAAAAATATGGAACCAGCCCAAATGCCCATCAATCAATGAGTGGATAAGAAAATGTAGTACACACACACACACACACACACACACACCATGGAATACGACATAGCCATAAAAAGGAATGAAACAGTAGCATTTGCAGCAACCTGGATGAAATTATAGACCATTATTCTAAGTGAAGTAACTTAGGAGTGAAAAACCAAACATCATATGATCAAACTCCTGGCTTCTCACTCGTAAGTGGGAGCTATGAGGACTCAAAGGCGTAAGAATGATACAATGGGCTTTGGGGATTCAGGGCAATGGGTGGGAGGGGGTGAAGGATAAAAAATCTTTTACATATAATTTGAAGTCAAGTAGTGTGATGCCTCTAACTTTGTACTTTGTGCTAAGAATTGCTTTGGCTATTTTGGCTCCCTTTTGGTTCTGTATCAATTTTAGGATTGTATTTTCTATTTCTGTGAAAAATGACATTGGTATTTTTACAGAGATTGCATTAAATGTGTGTATTGCTTTGGTCAATATATTCATTTTAAGTACATTAATTCTTCCAGTCCATGAGTATGGATGACTTTCCATTTGTCTGTGTCCTCTTCAATTTCTTTCCTCAGTGTTTTGTAGTTTTTCTTGTAGGGATCCTTTACCTCCTTGATTAAACTGATTCCTAGGTATTTTGGCTGCAGTGCAGTGGCACAATCATAGTTCACTGCAATCTCAAACTGCTGGGCTCAAGCAATCCTCCCACCTCAGCCTCCCAAGTAGCTGAGACTATGGGTGCACACCACCACACCCGGCTAATTTTTTTATTTTTTGTAAAGATGGGCTCTTGCTATTGCCAAGGCCGGTCTTGAACTCCCAACTTCAAGCAATCCTCCTGCCTCAACCTCCCAAAGTACTGGGATTACAGTCATAAGCCACCACATCTGGCTTATTTCATCTTTTGTACTATTATAAGTGGGACTGCCTTCTTGATTTCCTTTTCAGCTATTTCATTGTTGGAGTATAGAAACACTACTGATTTTTATATGTTGACTTTGTATCCTGCAATTTTACTAAATGTGCTTATCACCTCTAGGAGTTTTGTGGTGGAGTCTTTTGCTTTTTCTAAATATAAGAAATGTAATCTGCAAAGAGGGACAATTTGACTTCCTCCTTTCCAATTTGGATTTGTTTGTTTGTATTTACCTGATTGCTCTGAATAGGACTTCTAGTACTATGTTCAATAGAGTGGTGAATGTGAGCATCCTTTCTTATTCCAGTTTTTAGAGGAATGGCCTTCAACTTTTCCCCACTCTGTATGATGTTAGCTGAGGGTTTGTCATATATAGCCTTTACTGTTTTCCCCTATGCCTAGTTTGTTGAAAGTTTTTGTCTGGAAAGTACATTGAATTTTATCAAATATTTGTTCTGGCCAGGCACGGTGGCTCATGCCTCTAATCCCAGGCTTTTGAGAGGCTGAGGCAGGAGGATTGCTTGAGGCCAGGAGTTCAAGCCCAGCAACATAGAAAGACCTCCATCTCTATTTTTAAAAATATTTTTATAATAAAAAATTTTTAAATGTTATGCTTTTTCTATGTCTATTGAGATGATCATATGGTTTTTGTCCTTCATTCCGTTCATGTGATATATCACATTTATTGATTTGCATAGGTTAAACCGCATCATTGCTTCCCTGGTATAAATCCTACTTGTAAATGGCATATTATCTTTCATTCAGCCTCAGCTTTTCTTTGTTGAGAAACTTCTGTCTGTTTGTTTGTTTGTTTTTGAGACAGGGTCTCCCTCTGTCACCCAGGCTGGAGTGCAGTGGTACCATCATGGCTAACTGTAACCTCAAGCTCCTGAGCTCAAGCAATCTTCCCACTTCAGCCTCCCAAGTAGCAGTGACTACAGGTGCACATCACCATGCTTGGCTAATTTTTTTTTTTTTTTTTTTTTTTTTTGTGGGGACAAAGTTTCACTATGTTTCCTAGGTTGGTCTCAAACTCCAGTATCAAGTGATCCTCCTGTCTCAGCCTTCCAAAATACTGGGAGTACAGGTGTGAACCATCACACCTGGCCAGGAAATTTCTTCATTATTGTTTCAATATCGTTACTTGTTATTAGGGTTCAGGTTTTATATTTCTTCCTGATTCAATATTGATAGATTGAATGTTGCCAGGGATTTATCCAGTTTCTCCAGGCTTTCCCATTTGGTTAGAGTATAGTTACTCATAATAGTCTCTGGTGAGGTTTTGTATTTCTGTGGTATCAGCTGTAAAGTTTCCTTTTTCACTTCTGATTTTGTTTATGTAGGTCCTCCCTCTTCTTTTATCGGCTAATCTAGCTAGCAGTTTATCAATTTTGTTTGTCTTCTCCAAGTACCAACTTTTTGTTTTCATGGATTTGTTTTAGTTTTTGTTGGTGATGTTTTTTGTTTGTTTTTTGTTTTTTTCAGTCTCTGTTTTGTTTAGTTCTGCTCTAATCTTTATTATTTATTTCCTTCTGCTAATTTTGGGCTTGGATTTTTTTCTTGCTTTTCTAGTTCCTTAAGATGTATCATTAGATTGTTTATTTGAAATTTTTTTACTTTTTTGATGCAAGTATTTTTTACTATAAACTTCTCCCTTAGTTTCATTCTTCTGCATGTGAGTATTCAGTTTTCCCAGTAGCATTTATTGAAGAGACTATTCTTTCCCCAATTTATGTTCTTGGCACTTTTGTTATAAATGAGTTCACTCTAGATGTATGGATTTATTTCTGGGTTCTCTATTCTGTTCCTTTGGTCTATGTGTTAGTTTTTATGCTGGTACTATGCTGTTTTGACTACTATAACTCTATAGTATAATTTGAAGTTGAGTAACGTGATTCCTCCAGTTTTGTTCTTTTTGCTCAGGTTAGCTTTGGCTATTCTGGGTCTTCTGTGGGTCCACAAAAATTTTAGAATTGTTTTTTCTATTTCTGTGAAAAATGTCATTGGTATTTTGATAGGGATTGCATTGAATCTTTAGAATGCTTTGGGTAATATGGACACTTTAACAATATTGATTATTCCAATGCATGAACATGAAATATCTTTCTATGTTTTTATGTCCTCTTCAGTTTCTTTCTCCAATGTTTTACAGTTTTCATTGTAGAGATATTTCACTTCTTTAAGTTAATTCCTAGATATTTAATTTTATTTGTAGCTACTATAAATGGGATTACTTTCTTGATTTCTTTATCAGATTGTTTGCTGTTGGAATATGGAAATGCTACTGATTTTTACATGTTGATTTGTATTCTGCAACTCTACTGAATTTGATTATCCATCATAATAGGTTTTTGGTAGAGTCTTTAGGTTTTTCCAAATATAAGATCATATCATCTGCATACAGGGATAATTTCACTTCTTCCTTTCCAATTTGGATGCCCTTTATTTATTTCTCTTCTCTGATTGCTCTAGCTAAGACTTCCAGTACTATGTTGAATAACAGTGGTGACAGTGGACATCCTTGTGGTGTTCCCGATCTTAGGGGAAAGGCTTTCGGTTTTTCCATATTCAATATGATGCTAGCTATGTGTCTGTCTTGTGTGGCTTTTATTATGTTGAGGTATGTTTCTTCTAGATCCAGTTTCTTTAGAGTTTTTATTATGAAAGGATGTTGAATTGTATCAAATGCTTTTTCAGCATCAATTGAAATGATCCTATGATTTTTGTCCTTCATTCTGTTGATATGATGTATCACACTGATTGATTTGCATATGTTGAAGCATCCTTGTATAGTCTCTATATTATTTATTTGGCTATAAACAGTGCCAGTAGTATCTGTGATTTCCTTGGTGGCACAGGGTAGAGTTATTAGTGGAAGTTCAAGCAATTCTCCTGCCTCAGCCTCCCGAGTAGCTGGGATTATAGGTGCCCACCACCATGCCAGACTAATTTTTGTATTTTTTGTAGAGACAGGGTTTCACCACGTTGGCCAGACTGGTCTCAAACTCCTGAAAAGTGATCGGCCCGCCTCGGCCCTCCAAAGTGCTGGGATTACAAGCATGAGTCACCGCACCCAGCCAGTTTTCTTTTAATAACATCAATCATGTTAGAGTAGGGTTCACCCTAATCAAGTGTGACCTTACATTAACTTGATTAAATCTGCAAAGATCCTACTTCCAAATAAGGTCAGTCACAGGTACCAGGAGTTATGATTTCAACACTTCTTTTTGGAAGATACAATTCAACACACAACACTGAGAGAAATCACTGCACTGCACATTCTAATGACTGAAGGCATCTGATTTCCTGTGTCCCAGGCCTAGGGGACTAGCACTATTGGAGTCTCTGCCTCCAAACATGACCCACACTGATCCTTTCAATTATTCCCTCTCTGGGGCAACAGACCAGGCCTCCAACACCCACTGCAGATGCTGGTTCCCTGTAGAACAGGAAATTTGGGAACAGAAAATGATTCTAACTACATAATAAGGATACAATTACTAGAACAGGCTGAGGTTTTTTGTTTTGTTGTTTGTTTTTTTTTTTTTTTTGATGGAGTCTTGCTGTGTCACCCAGGCTGGAATGCAGTGGCACAATCTGGGCTCACTGCAACCCCCGTCTCTTGGGTTCAAGTGATTCTCCTGCCTCAGCCTCCTGAGTAGCTGGGACTACAGGTGTGCACCACCATGCCTGGCTAATTTTTTGTATTTTTACTAGAGACGAGGTTTCACCATGTTGGCCAGGCTGGTTTTGAACTCCTGATCTCAGATGATCCACCCACCTTGGCCTCCCAAAATGCTGGGATTATAGGTGTGAGCCACCACACCTGGCCAGACTGAGGTCTAATTCCACTTTCCTTATGTACTAGCTTTGTGACCTCACATAAGTTGATCATCTCATTAAATATAAATGGGTATAATATTTAAACAGAAGGTATGTATGAAGTTTCAACAGCTGCTTTAAAAATGAATTAATACATGGCTCATAGCAGGTGTTCAAGTCTTACTAGTTCCTCTCCCTCTTTCCCTAACACTGCCTATCCTGGGGATATTTAAAAAGCTTTGGGCACTGACCCGAACTCTAGGGTACACACGTGTCTTATTTGGTCTCTCTGCAGTGACATGCACACTATGGTGGAGAACCACACCCAAGTCACCTGGTTCTGCCTGCTGGGACTTACAGAGCAGGAGGAGCTCAAAGGCATCTTCTTTGTGCTCTTCCTGCTCATATATTCAGTCACTGTCATGGGCAACCTGGGAATGATCACTCTGATCCATGCAGAACCACAGCTCCACACCCCCATATACTTATTCCTGGGTGTCCTCTCCTTCATAGACTCCTCGTTTTCCATGGTGGACACCCCCAGGCTGCTGGAGAGCTTCCTCATCTCAAGCCAATCCATCTTCTTTGCAAGCTGTGTGGTCCAGATGGCCCTCATGACCCTCCATGGTACTGCTGAGTGTCTGCTCCTGGCCATCATGGCCTATGACCAATTCACCGCTATCTGCCACCCTCTCCTCTGTCACACTATTATGTCCCAACATCTGTGTGTCCTGCTGGTGGTGACCTCCTATACTGTTTCTGTTGCCAATTCAGCTTTGCTGACTGGGTGCATCTTTAAACTGCCCTACTGTGGCCCCAATGTCATTAACCAGTATTTCTGTGGCATCCCTCCTGTGCTTCATCTTGCCTGCGTAGATACTACTGAGGGTGAGACCATTATCTTCTCATCGTGTGTCTTGCTCATCCTCTTTACCACCACCATTATCCTAGTCTCCTATGCCTACATCCTGGTGCCCATTTGCAGGATGCGCTCCCTGCAGGCCCAGAGCAAAGCTCTCTCCACCTGTGCCTCCCACCTCACCATCATCTGCTTCTTCTATAGCACCATCACCTTCACGTATGCTCAGCCAAGCTCTCACAATTCCATGGAACACAACAAGGTCATGTCTGTCTTCTATACTGTGATCATCCCCATGCTGAACTCTCTGATCTACAGCCTGAGGAATAGAGATATAAAATATGCTTTGAAGAGGAGATGCCTGTGAAAGTTGTCTTCATAACCAAGTGTGGAGCATTGAGCATCCTATCCCAAGCTGTAACATGGTAGCCACAATATAAAGTATGGATAATATTAACCCTTAGATAGAGCAAAGTATATGCCAGCACTAGTTTAAACATTTGATACATTATCAACCCATTTAATCTTCACAACAAGTGTATGAAATGGGCACTATTATTATCCCTTAGGAATCTGGAGCACAGAGAAGCTGAGTAACTTGCCCAAAATCACACAGCTGATAAGAGGCAGTCTGGTTCCAGAGACTATATTCTCAACTAATGCACGGTACTGACTTTTTCTGATGACTACATCTCAAAAAAGAACAATGGCAGCATTCCTTGAATTCCAGATATCATAAGGAGAACCTGGATCACGGCATTATAAAGTGGTATGGGAGGTTTGCCGCTGTATGGGAGGTTTGCCTCGATCAGCTCAGGAGGCTTGCATTTATTCATTAAGATTAGTTAACAAGTGCCATGTTGGTGTGCACATGTACCCTAGAACTTAAAGTATAATAAATAAATAAATATATATATATAAATAAAAATAAACCAAAAAAAAAAAATTAGTTAACAAAAACTTGAGTCAACACCATTAGCGGGTGATTGATATTGTGGACTTCCCGAGTAAAAAGTATACATCAAAGGCTTAAGGCTTAAGACCACATGAGTAAACAAGTTAACTAGAGAACTTCCCCACACCCCACTGTTTACTACTTTAATTTATTTAACTAAAGGTAATCGGACCAGGCCGCCTTCAGCCTGGTCTATTACCGAGGTCATATGAGAACACTCAGGCCTTCCAAAAGGGTTGTGGCTATCATAACTAATATTTTTCCCACCAGCCTGATCGAACCCCAACATCAGGGACCATGGGGTTTGGAGCCTCTGCACCCACACCTCAGTTCACCTTGCCTCTGACTGACTCCTTCTCTTGGCCTCTGTGTGATGTTGAGTCTAGACCCTGATCCCCCATTTTCCCAAGTGAAAATGAGACAGTAACACCCACCTCAACTGGTTATTATTAGGCCTCCATGAGGGGGAATAGGGGCTCCCATAGAGTCTGGCACAAACAACTGTTCACAAACTGTTGGTTTCCTTGTTTTCCTGGGGAAACCACTCCACAGGATCACATATTCTTATACATCAATGTTTTTTGAGGGTGAGACCATATTACATTAGTGTATCAGTCCATTTTCCTACGGCTATGAAGAAATACCCAAAACTGGGTAAATTATAAAGAAAAAGAGATTTCACAGACTCACTGTTCCACATGGCTAGGGAAGCCTCACAGTCATGGCGAAAGGTGAAGGAGGAGCAAAGGCACGTCTTACGTGACAGCAGGCAAGAGAGCATAAGCAGGGGAACTGCCCTTTATAAAACCATCAAATCTTGTTGAGACTTATTCACTACCATAAGAACTGTATGGGAAAACCCACTCCCATAATTCAATTACCTCCCACTGGGTCCCTCCCATGACACATGGAGATTATGGGATCTATGATATTAAATAACATTTTGGCTGGGCAAGGTGGCTCATGTCTGTAATCCCAGCACTTTGGGAGGCTGAGGTGGGCAGATCACCTGAGGTCAGGAGTTTGAGACCAGCCTAGCCAACGTAGTGAAACCCCGTCTCTACTAAAAATACAAAAAATGAGCTGGGCGTGGTAGTGCACGTCTGTAATCCCAGCTACTCGGGAGGCTGAGGCATTAGAATCACTTGAATGCAGGAGGCAGAAGTTGCAGTGAGCTGAGATCATGCCACTGCACTCTAACCTGGGTGACACAGCAGACTCTGTCTCAAAATAAATAAGTAAATACATAAATAAATAAATAACATTTCATTGAATCATGAGAAAGTTCTTTCTTTTCCAATCCTTTTTTAGCTCAAAGTTGAAGTCTCTGTTTGATACTAGTTTGACTTTAAACCTTCCCCAATTGTGTCTCCTTTTTAACACAGAGAGCAAGTTTTAGCACTTAACAGTAATTAGCCAGTATTTAATGTTACGTTGTTTTCCTATTTATTTTTATGTTACACTTTTATTTATGATTCTAACTTAAAAGGTTTTAAATAAACAACTGTTTAAAACAACCCAAGTTTCAGAAAAATCACAGTACATGTGATACACAGGGCAAAGGAGGCAACCAAATGACTTTAGGAACATTTATATAGGTAATTCATGTTTTTCAAAACATTTTCACGTTATTTTATTTGATCTTCACCAAATGCTGTAAGATAAGTAAGCCAGGTGTTATTACTTCCATTTTACAGATAAACAAAACTAAATAAATCTGATTAAGTCTCACTGGAAGGCCACACAATAGCTTAGAACAGAGAACCCAGGGCTCCTGAATTGTGATGGAATCCCCTGCACACAGTTCTCAACTTCCTTTCAGAAAAACAAAAATGAAATTTCTTGATCTTCTCATATTATGGACTGAATTGTGTCTCCCCTAAATTCATGTTAAAACCGTAACCCCCACCACCATCCCTCAGAATGTGATGGCATTTGGAGATAGTTTAATCACCTTTAAATGGGTGATTAAGTTGAAATGAGGCCTTTAGGGTGGGCCTAGTCCATTCTGACTGGTGTTCTTATAAGAAGGGGAAATGTGGACACAAAAGAGATGCCAGAGATGCACCCAATGGAAAGACCATGTGAGGATGTAGTGAGAGGGGGGCAGCTGCAAGCCAAGAACAGAGGCTGCAGAAGAAACCAGCCCTGCCAGCACCTTGCTCTTGGATCCACCTCCAGCCTCCAGGACCATAAGAAAATAGATTCCTGTGGTTTAAGCCACCCAGTCTGTGGTATTTTGTTATTGCAGCCTGAGCTGACTGATGCAGCTTCTATACTCAAGGCTGCCTCTTGGCCCAATATGGGTGCTGAAGCTTTAGCCATCAGTTCAATGTTTGAAGAAAAAAGGTGGAGGAATGAGAAAAAAATACCAGCTGCCTGTTCCCTTTGGTAGCTGCTATGGTGTGAATGTCCACCCCGCCCCCTCCCCCAAAAAACACTCATGTTGAAATTTAATTGTCATTGTGATCTTATTAAGGGGTAGGACTGTAAAAAGGTGATTAGGCCATGAGAGTTCTGCCCTTATGAATAGGTTAATGCCATTATTGAGTGAGTGAATTCTTGAGAAAAGCAAGTTTAACCACCTCTTGCTCTCTCTTGCTTTTGTGTGCCCTCTTTTGTCCTTTCCCCTTCCACCAAGGGATGACTCAGTAAGAAAGACCACATCAGATGGAGGCCCTTTGGCCTTGGACGTCCTAGCTTCCAGGAATGAAGAAATAAATTTCTTTTCCTTATAAATTACCCTGTATGTGGTATTCTGTTATCAGCACAAAATAGGCTAAGACAGGAACCTTTCCAGTAACAGCCTTTCATTAGCCAGAACTTAGTCACAAAGGAGTCACAAGTTTGCAAGGGAGGCTGGGAAATATAGTTATTAGCTGGGGACATTGCCATCTTGAGTATTTGGGGATTCTGCTTATAGAAAGAGGTAGAGAATGAATACTGGATAGGCATCTCGCAGTCTTGACCATTCCTCCCTTATGTCTACTGTCCAGAGCAGAGGATGGCAGAGAACTGATGGCACACCCACAACCCTATACTTCCTGCCAATAGATTGCGTGTGGACAGAATGAAACTGCCTTTGCAGAATTATGACTGAGACAGTGAAAGACATCTAACTTAATCGACTCCATCTTGCTTCTAACCTCCAAGCTGTCCTTGTTCATTCCTGGGCATAGGCTGAACTAATTTTGGGAGAAACTTAGTTTATACTTTTTTGGTTTTGGGGTTTTTTTCTCTTTTTTTTTTTTTAGACAGTCTCGCTTTGTCACTCAGGCAGGAGTGCAGTGGCACCATCTCAGCTCACTGCAACCTCCGTCTCCCAGGTTAAAGGGATTCTCCTGCCTCAGTCTCTGGAGTAGCTGGGATTACAGGGACCTGCCACCATACCTGGCTAATTTTGTCTTTTTAGTAGAGACGGGGTTTAACCACGTTGGCCAGGCTGGTCTCAAACTTTCTGACCTCAAGTGATCTGCCCGCCTCAGCCTCCCAGTATGCTGGGATTACAGGCGTAAGCCACCACATCCAACTTATAGTTTATAGTTTAAAACAAAGATGATAGCAGCCCTTTCCCAAAGCAGACTTCCTTCTTGCCTGGGGACTAAATTGCCTTTGTAGGACTAAAATTAGCCACAAAATTAGAAATTATGGTTGAGGAGTCATGCAACTGGAGGCTACAAGATTCTGACCCTCCCTAAACTGCTCCTAAGATCAGTGCTTGAGATAGTTTGCAGACCCTGCACTTGATGGATCAGTTGGCACCACTCAGATTGATTACCTGGCTCATCAGATCTTGTGGCCCCCTCACCCAGGAACTGACTCAGCACAAGAAGACAGCTTCAGTTCCCCATGATTTCATCTGACCAATCAGCGCTCCTGGCTCACTGGCTTCCCTCCACCCACCAAGTTGTCCTTAAAAATTCTGCTCCCCGAATGCTAGGGGGGAGACTGATTTGAGTAACAATAAAATTCAGGTCTCCTTCACAGCCGGCTCTGCATCAATTACTCTTTTTCTACTGCATTTCCTTTGTCTTAATAAATCGTCTCTGTCTAGACAGTGGGCAAGGTGAACCCATTGGGCAGTTACAAGCATTCTAAGTTTAAATTTTCTAGCCAACATAAAAAATTTGATGAGATAATGTCTTAGACATTTGGGCTGCAAAAATACCATAAACAGAATGGCTTATAAACAGAAATTTCTTTTCTTTTTTTTTTTTTAGATGGAAGCACCCACCACCACACCTGGGTTTCACAATGTTGGCCAGGCTGGTCTCGAACTCCTGACCACAGGTGATTCTCCTGCCTCAGCATCCCAAAGTGCTGGGATTACAGGTGCGAGGCACTAGGCCCAGCCACAGAAATTTATTTCTCATGGTTCTAGAAGCTGGGAAGTTCAGCGTAGAAGGGCCTGC